AGACGACACTGTAGAGCAGTATTTCGGAGGCAACTCTAAACGTGGTATGTTTGACCAGTAACGAACATCAACCATTTGGTTATAAATATTGATGAACCACATGAAAGTGACCGCCTAACCCTCAACTCCTTACGGTATCCAACTGCTATAAATTACGCTTGATTCTTTTGCACGTGCATTTGCAGAGATCGCTATTTGTTTCGGGTCACGTGAGCAGAACGGCTGTCTCGAACGGACTTGGTCCTCCATCAATCGTAGAAACACCATGGGCTAGATTCCAATGCGAGAAAGTGTTAGATGTTAAGTACATCAGAACGACCCACAACCAACGGCTCCACGACTTTGAAATAAAAGTCTTCCGATTCTATAGGAATATTCCAAATAGGGCTTTAATTGTTGAAAAAAAAAGTTTTAAAGTTTGCAATGTTGAAATGACGGCCTTCCTTACACTTTCGTGATGAAAGCATTCTGAAGCCCTTCATGAAGTTAATTTTACGGTGCCGATTTCCGTTTCTATGCCATCAGTCATGGGTGTCTTATTTTGAAGACAGGGTCGATAGTAGCTCTGTGGAAAGCACACTGTATCGTTGTTTCCCGCTGCCCTCCCACAGAAAGGTACTCATTTATCAACCTCGGAAGGAAAAAATAGTCAAGAGACCGAGACTCGAAGCAGGGATCTCTAGGTTCTGCGTCTGACGCTTTACCGACTGAGCATCCCGGTCTACGGCAATGCGTGATGAATTTACTGCTCGTGGGAAATCGTAATTAAGTCAATAATTGCTCCTCTGACGCAATACTCATACACGCTGGGCCACCACGCCATTAGTACTAAATATTTATTTAGTAAATGGTGTGTCGTTGAAAGAAATTTTCTAAGGGAACGTGGCACGGATCTGAAGTTAGATTTCATACGCAGTTTATTAAAATATTTTTATTCACTTATTACTGAAATAATTCAATAGTTCAGCTATTCACTAATGCGCATCAACGAGTCTCTAAGAAAGAACAAGGTTACGAATACTTGTTTTAGACAATGCAAAGATGACGGAGGAGACCGCACGAGACGATCGGACAAAAAGCGAAGAATCACGAACAATTATAAAGGAAAGGATAAAGTATTTATGAGTAAATACGCCGTAATAATGCAATAATCTCATCCATAAGATACGAATCTTTGTGACCCCCCCCCCACGGACTGCTGCTGGGTGAACAGCTACAATGGAGAAACTGGACCGCAACGTGCAAACAGTTTATAATAACCTATGACTTACAGTACAAGGGAGATAAAAAATGTTCAGCTGCAGTTGAAATCACAGTAACGAAAAATCGCGTCAACCAATGTTACTTCAGGTAAGTAATTGGGAAATACGGTAACGGAAAAATACTTTTCGGAAGCCGCTGTAGCAGAACAAACCGAGAATAAAATGAAAATAAGTATAGACCTATACAATCAGCTCAACTGAATACTTCTGCCAGGTCAAGAGAGCTCCTAATATCTAATCGACTAACAATTATGCTTTATCTGATTCTTGTTCCGCATGTTAATTTAAATCTGACGTTGCAGTACCACTCAGATTTGTACTTCCTTCTAATAGATTCTCAGATTTAAGCTATGAACACGGCACCAGTAAGGTTCTTCATCCAAACTGAGGGTGTGAACAGCTACACCAGATCTGACTTATCCTCTTACAGTGAGATGAAGTACCCTGTTCGATGGAAAATGGTCACACACACTTATCAATTGCTCTAATGTTTGCATTTGAGGAAGTATTTTAAAAAAACTAATTTAAAACTACTGCCTTGTTCTCCTTGAAACTTATGTTAGAAGGTAACAAC